ACAAAGACAGATTTTTTTTCCAATACTTACCTACAAATCCAGCACTACAGAAAGATTTGGAAGGAAAACTCCCACCCACGGAAGTTAACTATGCACACAAAATGTAGGCAACAGATAATCTCCCTATACAAGAAACCAAGGGTGATGGAGGTCAAATATATTCACAATACCACTGCCAACATCAAATCTAAAACAAACCAGCATCAAAAATCAATGGCCTTTACTCACCCCCAATATTAATGGCCTTAGCTCACCTATAAAAAGACACAGGCTAACAGAATGGATATTTAGAAAGAATGCATTCTTCTGCTACATACAAGAAACACATCTAAGTTTCAAAGATAGACATTACTTCAGGGTAAAAGGTTGGGGAATATCTTCCAATCAAATGTCCACAAGAAGCAAGCAAGCATGGCTATCCTAATATCTAACAAGTTAGACTTCAAACCAAAATTAATCAAAAGAGATGAAGATGCTCATTCAGTATTCATTGCAGGAGAAATCCTTCAACACAGTCTCAATTCTGAAAATTTTTGCCCGAAATACAAAGGAACCCAGCATAAACCAACTGCCAACGTCAGACTGAAAGGAGAGATCCTTAAGGAGATTCCTCTAAAATCACGAACAAGACAAGGCTGCCCTCTCTCTCAATATCTCTTCAATATTGTACGTGAAGTTCTAGCTAAAGCTATAAGACAAGAAAAGCAGATAAAAGGGATCCATATTTGAAAGGAAGAAGTCAAACTATCACTATTTGAAGATGATATGGTAGCTTAATAAGCAACCCAATAAACTCTACCAAGGAACTCCAATAGCTGATAAACACCTTCAGCAAACTAGCAGGGTACAAGATAAACTCAAAATAATCAGTAGCCCTACTTTTTTCAGACAACAATGAGATTGAGAAAGAAATCAGAGAAAGATAACACTTTACAATAGCCAGAAAGAACATAAAGTATCTTGGAGGAACACTTCCCAAACAAATGAAAGACCTATATAACAAAAATTTGTGGCTCTAAAGAAAGAAATTAAAGAAGATACCAGAATATGGAAAGATCCCCCATGCTCTTGAATAGGTAGGATAAATATAGTAAAAATGGCAATCTTGCCAAAAGCAATCTAGAGATTCAATGCAATCTCCATTAAAAACCCACAATAATTCATCACTGAGCTTGAAAAGATAATAATCAACTTTTTATGGAAAAACAAAAGAACCAGCATAGCCAAAACAACCCTGTACAATAAAAGAACTTGAAAGGCATCACCATCTGTGACTTTAAGCTCTACTACAGAGCTATACTCCTGAAAACAGCCTGGAATTGCCACAAAAACAAACAAACAAAAAAAAACACCAAACAACAACAAAAAAAAAAAAAACAAAAACAGGTAGAACATGGAATGGATTTCAAAAACCTGATACAGACCCACATACGTATGAACACCTGATTTTCTACAAAACACATAAAACAATACAATGGGATGAGGAAATCATCTTCAACAAATAGTGCTGGCACATTTGGATGATGATGTTTAGAAGACTGCAGATAGACCCAAGTCTGTAGTCATACACAAAACTATGGTCCAAATGGATCAAAGACCTCAACATCAATCCAACCACACTGAACCTCTTAGAAGAGAAAGTAGGAGGTACCCTTGAACAAATTGTTATAGGAGACCACTTCCTGAACATAACTCCAGGGGCACAGACACTGAGAGCAACAATTAATAAATGGGACCTCTTCAAACTTAGAAGGTTCTGTAAGGCAAAGGACACAGTGGAAAGACAAAATGGCAGGCCACAGACTGGGAAAAGATTTTATGTAAGGAGTAAGGTTTTTCCGCCCACCACGGGTCTGGTCCTGCCAACACGCCAGCACCAATTAACACACAGAGACTCTATATTTGACATAATGCTATTGGCCTGGTACTAGTTTCTTATCTGCTAGCTCTGTCTTAAGTATTAACCCATTTCTGCTGATCTATGTATGTTCATGTGGTCTTCTTACTGAGGAGCATACCGGCATTCTGCTTTCTCCAGACTCTCCATGCTGACTCCTCCTTCCAACTTCCTCTTTCCTCCTTGTCTCTTAGTCCCTCCTATCTTCATTTCCTATTGGACAACATTTACAAAATGGCATCTCCCATCAATTTTCACCAATAGTTCATCAGACAATGGGCTGATCTCCAAAATATACAAACAACTCAAAAAACTAATCAACTAAACACCAAACAGCCCTATTAAAAAATGGGGTACAGACCAGCAGAGGAACTAGGATACAAGGTGTATTCTAAGAGATTCATATAAAGTCTCTCATAGAACCAGGAAGGGATAAGTCCCCCAGAGCTCAGGGGAAGTGGGGGGGGGCAGCGAATGGAGAGAGTAGTAGGAGAAAACGAGGGGGAGGAAAAGGAAAACATGTGCGACCAGGAAGATTGAACCTTGTTAGGAATAGAAGACAGGAAAGAGAGACACAAAGAGAGAGAGAGCATAATAGAGGGAGCCAATATTGGTTTGAAGATAAAATTGAACACAAAGAAAGGTCTGTAGAACTACAAGACTCCTCCAAACTAACAATTTGAGCTTCCTTGGAAAGGCTAACATAAATGCGCTTCCCAGAGGGTGAGAGAGAGTGAGATCAACAACTAACTTACCCATGGAGCTCTCAACTAATGCCTGTTTGAAACAGGAGCAAAGGCCCATAAATAAACACTAAGTCGAAGTAGAACCCAGATGCATGTCGAGAGGACAAGACCAGGTGGCAGAAACACATAGAGACAGCTTACCTGAACAAGGAGCAGCTAACGGGCCACCAGACCGATAGCTGGGAAGCCAGCAAGGCCGCCCTGAAAATGGGTCTCAGCCAGAAGGACTGAGCAGTCTAAGGAACCTCAGACAGCGGAGCCAGGATGTATCCCTGGGACACAAAAGGACTTTGCGAACACATTCCCCATGGAGGGATAACTGCCTTTATCTAGAGACAGGAGAGAAGCACTAGTCCCTACTTCACATGACCTGTCACCTCTACATGACCCCAACTGGATGGCATTCCTCTACATATGGAATTGGGGTGGGGGGGTGGGAGGGTAGGGTGGTTAGAATTCATGTGAGAAGGCAGCGAGGGTTAAACTGAGGGAAGGAGGGAGGAGGAAGAAAGGGAGGGAGGGAGAGGGAACTGGGATTGACATGTAAAATAATAAATTAAATTAAAAAATATTGCTTTGACTCCAAAATTAAGTTCAAGGACATGTTACTGGGGAAAAGGATTTCTATTATTGTTTCCACAGAAAATGAAAAGATGTGAATTCCTTCCAGACTTATGTGCTTGATCAAGCCAGACCACCTGAAAGAGAATACCAGGTGATCCTACATTCAAAACAGGTGGACAAAGCAGCCTTACAGACTACAGCCAGGATTTCTGAATCTTCTTTGAATCCACCACGACAGCACCTCTTATCAGCAGGAAGTAGTTTGGTAAGAACGACACCCAAATCCTCAAATATTGTCTATAAATGTTTGCTATTATTTAAATGGACTTGGTTATATAAAATGAAAAAAAAAAGAATAGAAGCGTTGATTGAAAAAAAAACTTTATAAAATCAAAAAATAAAAATGGGGTACAGAACAGAAGAAATAATTCTAAATAGAGGAAACCAAAAAAGCTGAAAAACACTTAAGAAAATGTTCACCATCTTTAGCTATCAGGGAAATGCAAATCAAAACAACTTTGTGATACCATCTTACTCCTGCCAGGATGGCTAAAATTAAAAACACCAATGACAACTTATACCAAAGAAGATGTGGAGAAAGGGAACATTCCTCCACTGCTGGTGGGAGTGCAAAATCGCACAGCCATTTTGGAGATAAGTATGGTGGTTCCTCAGGAAAATGGGAATTAGTTAACCACGGGACCCAGCAATCCCCCCTTAGACATATACCCAAAGGATCCATATCCCGGCAACAAAGACATCTGCTCAACTATGTTGATAGCAGTATTATTTGTAATAGCAAGAAACTGGAAACAACCTAGATGATCCTCAATTGAAGAATGGATAAGATAGGATAAGGATAGGAAAGAAATTGTGACTAGGAAGATTGAGTCAGTGTAGGAATAAGAGACAGAAGAGAGACAGAGAGAGAGAGAAAGAGAGAGAGAGAGAGAGAGAGAGAGAGAGAGAGAGAGAGAGAGAGGTGAGTGAAAGACAGAGAGGGAGACAGAAAGCGAGAGAGAATAAAAGAGAGAGCCAGTACAGGTTTGAAGAGAAAAGTGAATCTAAAGAAAGGTCTAGACACCTAAAAGACTGTTGCCAACTAACAATTTGAGCAACTGTGAAAAGGCTACCCTAAATGCCCTTCCTGGATATTGAGATCAACAACTAACTTATTCACCATCATGGAGCCCTCCTATAGTACTGCTGGAAACAGAAGCAAACACCCAAACCTAAACACTGAGTTTAACTAGAATCCAGATGCAGATGGACAGAACAAGACCAGGTTTTAGAAACACACAGAGACAGCTGACCTGAACAAGGAGCAAATGACAGGCACCCAGACTGACAGCTTGGAATCCAGCATGGTACTGACTCAGTCTTCTCTAAATATGTGTCTCAGCCAGAAGGACTGAGCAGTCTTAGGGACTGCAGACAGTGGAACCAGGATGTATTCCTCATGCACAAAAGGTCATTGCAGACACATCCCCCATGGAGGGTACTCCCTTAACCTAGAAACAGGAGAGATGTCCTAGTCCCTACTTCAAATGAATTGACAGATCTACATGACTACTCCTGGATGGCATTGTCATACATGTGGAATTGGGTTGGGAGCTGGGAGCAGAGGGTGGTAAGGGTGCATGTGAGTGGGAATAGCGTGTAAATGGGTGGGAGGGAGGGAGAGAGAGGGAAATGAGATCGACATGTGAAATAAAAAAATAAATAAGTGCGCCATTTCGTGGACGCCAGGGAACGGAGAGCATCTGCTAAAGCAGATCCCGAAGTGTGCGGGTGGGCCTGACGGAGTGTTGGGGTTTGAACCTCGGTGTTTGAACCCAGGATCTCGAAATGCATCGTGATTCCTGTCCACTAGATTGTAAGGTGTATGTAGGTGATCTTGGAAACAATGGGAACAAGACTGAACTAGAGCGGGGTTTTGGCTATTATGGACCACTTCGAAGTGTGTGGGTTGCTCGGAACCCTCCTGGCTTTGCTTTTGTTGAATTTGAGGATCCCCGAGATGCAGCTGATGCTGTCCGAGAGCTGGATGGAAGAACACTATGTGGCTGTCGTGTGAGAGTGGAACTGTCGAATGGTGAAAAAAGAAGTCGAAATCGTGGCCCGCCACCCTCTTGGGGCCGTCGCCCTCGAGATGATTATCGAAGGAGGAGTCCTCCACCTCGGCGAAGATCTCCAAGAAGGAGAAGCTTCTCTCGAAGCCGGAGCAGGTCACTTTCTAGAGATAGGAGAAGAGAAAGGTCTCTGTCTCGGGAGAGAGAACCACAAGCCATCTCGGTCTTTCTCTAGGTCTCGTAGCCGATCTAGGTCAAATGAAAGGAAATAGAAGACCAGCTTGCTAAAGAAGTGGTGTACAGGAAATAACTTCATTTGACAGGAGTATGTACAGGAAATTCAAGTTTTGTTTGAGACTTCATAATCTTGGTACATTTTTAAGATGTTTTAGCTGTTCAAATTTGCTTTGAACTTTAGTTTTTCATAGACTGAAATAAACCTAGATCCTGCCCAGTTAAAGTGTGATGTGCTAATGATACAGAAACCACTGGTGGAAATGGAATAAAGCTCTAGTTTGTCTAGTAGCTGGGATATGGTGTGGAGCTGTGGGTAAAATGATAGGCAGTCTTTAAAAGCTGTTAGTGAACACCAGCTAACAGGTAAAGGATGGGAACTGCACCCTGAAGGCTTTCAGAGGTTCCTTACTGATTGCTATATATGGACGCATAGCTGCAACATTCTTTATTTGGAAATGGAAGACTTTAAGTTACCAGTGTCCTATCAGTGTAAGGGTACATTGTAGACACCAGAAACATAGGGTGAAGCAGAACAAATATATTCACAATACCACTGCCAACAACAAACCTAAATCAAACAACCATCAACAATCAATGGTCCTTACTCACCCTCAACATTAATGGTCTTAACTCACCTATAAAAAGACACAGATTAACAGAATGGATACGAAGACAGAATCCATCCTTCTGCTGCATACAAGAAACACATCTTAGCTCCAAAGATAGACATTACCTCAGGGTAAAGAGTTGGGAAAAGATTTTCCAATCAAATGGAAATAAGAAGCAAGCAGGCGTAGCTATCCAAATATATAACAAGCTAGACTTCAAACCAAAACTAGTCAAAAGAGATGAAGACGGTCATTTCATATTCATCTCAGGAGAAATCCATCAACACAAAGTCACAATTCTGAACATCTATGCCCCTAATACAAAGTCACCCACATTCGTAAAAGAAACACTACTAAAACTCAAAGCTCATATAAAACCTCACAAGCTTATAGTGGGAGACTTCAATACACCACTCTCAACACTAGACAGGACCACAAATCAGAAACTCAACAAAGAAACAAAAGAATTAACAGAAGTTATGTCTCAACTGGGGCTAACAGACATCTATAGAACATTCCATCCAAAGACAAAAGAATATACCTTCTTCTCTGCTCCACATGGAACCTTCTCTAAAATTGACCACATACTAGGAGACATAACAAACCTCAACAGATACAAGAGAATAGAAATAATCCCCTGTATCTTATCGGACCACCGTGCTTTAAAATTGGAATTCAATAACAACACAAATAGCAGAAAACCTGCAAACTCATGGAAACTTAACAATGTGCAATTGCACAACTCCTGGGTCAAAGAAGAAATAAAGAAAGAAATTAAAGACTTTCTAATATTCAACGAGAATGAGGATACAACATACCCGAACTTATGGGACACCTTGAAAGCAGTGCTACGAGGGAAGTTCATTGCACTAAGTGCCCATATGAAGAAAACAGAGGATAGTCACATAAATGAATTAACAGCCCAACTGAAAACCTTAGAACAGAGAGAAGCTAATTCACCCCCAGGAGCAGACGCCAGGAAATAATCAACTTGAGGGCTGAAATCAACAAAATAGAAACCAGGAAAACAATACAAAAAATCAATGCAACAAAGAGTTGGTTTTTTGAGAAAATCAACAAGATAGATAAACCTTTATCCAAATTAACGAAAAAGCAGAGACAGAACATGCAAATTAACAAAATCAGAAACGAAATGGGGAACATAACAACAGACACAGAGGAAATCCAGACAATTTTCAGGTCATACTTCGAAAATCTGTATTCCACAAAAATTGAAAATTCAAAGGAAATGGACAAGTTTCTGGATAACTATCATTTACCAAAATTAAATCAAGAACAGACAAACAACTTAAATAGACCTATAACCCGAAAAGATATAGAAGCAGTCATCGAAAGCCTTCCAACGAAAAAAAGTCCAGGGCCAGATGGTTTCAGTGCAGAATTCTACCAGACATTCAAGGAAGAACTAATACCACTACTCCTCAAACTGTTCCACAAGATAGAAACAGAAGGTTTATTGCCAAACTCTTTTTATGAGGACACAATAACTTTGGTACCCAAACCTCACAAAGACACAACTAAGAAAGAAAACTACAGACCAATATCCCTGATGAACATCGATGCAAAAATACTCAATAAAATAATGGCAAACCGAATTCAAAAATGCATCAGAGAAATCATCCACCATGATCATGTAGGCTTCATACCTGGATTGCAGGGATGGTTTAACATACGAAAATCTATCAACGTGATCCACCATATAAACAAACTGAAAAAGAAAAACCATATAATTATCTCCCTAGATGCGGAAAAAGCCTTCGATTAAATTCAACAAACTTTCATGATAAAGGTATTAGAGAGGTCAGGGATGACAGGAACATACCTAAACATAATAAGAGCAATATACAGCAAACCAACTGCCAACATCAAACTGAATGGAGAGAAACTTAAGCCAATTCCTCTAAAATCAGGAACAAGACAAGGCTGTCCTCTCTCTCCATATCTCTTCAACATCGTACTAGAAGTTCTAGCTAATGCCATAAGACAACAAAAGGAGATCAAGGGCATCCAAATTGGAAAGGAAGAAGTCAAACTGTCTCTATTTGCAGATGATATGATAGTTTACATAAGCGACCCAATAAACTCTACCAGGGAACTCCTACAGCTGATAAACACCTTCAGCAAACTAGCAGGATACAAGATAAACTCAACAAAATCAGTAGCCCTATTTTTTTCAGACGACAAAGAGGCAGAGAAAGAAATCAGAGAAACATCACCCTTTACAATAGCCACAAGCAACATAAAGTATCTTGGTGTAACACTTACCAAAAAAGTAAAAGATCTATATAATAAGAACTTTGTGACTCTAAAGAAAGAAATTAAAGAAGATACCAGAAAATGGAAAGACCTCCCATGCTCTTGGATAGGTAGGATAAACATAGTAAAAATGGCAATCTTACCAAAAGCAATCTACAAATTCAATGCAATCCCCATTAAAATCCCACCACAATTCTTCACCGACCTTGAAAGGATAATAATCAACTTTATATGCAAAAACAAAAGACCCAGGATAGCCAAAACAACCCTATACAATAAAAGAACTCCAGGAGGCATCACCATTCCTGACTTTAAGCTCTACTACAGAGCTATAGTTCTGAAAACAGCCTGGTATTGGCATAAAAATAGGCAGGTAGAACAATGGAATCGAATTGAAAATCCTGATATTAATCCACGCACCTATGAACACCTGATTTTCGACAAAACAGCTAAAATTATACAATGGGGCAAAGACAGCATCTTCAACAAATGGTGCTGGCACAATTGGATGAGGGTGTGTAGAAGACTGCAGATAGACCCATGTCTGTCGCCATGCAAAAACTCAACTCCAAATGGAATCAAAGACCTCAACATCAACCCAACCACATTGAACCTCTTAGAAGAGAAAGTAGGAGGTACCCTTGAACAAATTGGTATAGGAGACCGCTTCTTGAACATAACTCCAGGGGCACAGACACTGAGAGAAACAATTAATAAATGGGACCTCTTCAAACTTAGAAGCTTCTGTAAGGCAAAGGACACAGTTGACAAGACCAAAAGGCAGCCCACTGACTGGGAAAAGATTTTCACTAATCCTATATCCGACAAAGGGCTGATCTCCAAAATATACAAAGAACTCAAGAAACTAGTCAACAAAACACCAAATAACCCTATTAAAAAATGGGGTACAGAACTGAAGAAAGAATTCTCAATGGAGGAAATCAAAAAGGCTGAAAGACACTTAAGAAAATGCTCCACATCCTTAGCTATCAGGGAAATGCAAATCAAAACAACTTTGAGATACCATCTTACCCCTGCCAGAATGGCTAAAATTAGAAACACCAGTGATGACTTATGTTGGAGAGGATGTGGAGAAAGTGGAACACTCCTCCACTGCTGGTGGGAGTTCAAACTCATACAGCCATTTTGGAGATCAGTATGGCACTTCCTCAGGAAAATGGGAATTAGTTTACCACAGGACTCAGCAATCCCCCTCTTAGGCATACACCCAAAGGATTCACATCAATGCAACAAAGATATCTGTTCAACTATGTTCATAGCAGCACTATTTGTAATAGCAAGAACCTGGAAGCAACCTAGATGCCCTTCAATTGAAGAATGGTTAATGAAGATGTGGCATATCTACACAATGGAATACTACTCTGCAGAAAAAAATAATGGTATCTTTAAATTCGCAGGCAAGTGGATGGCACTTGAAGAAACCATCCTGAATGAGGTAACCCAGTCACAAAAAGAGAAACACAGTATGTACTCACTCATATATGGATTTTAGAACTAGATCAAATGATCACCAGCCTATAATTCACATCACCAGAGGAACTAGGATACAAGTTGTATTCTAAGAGATTCATATAAAGTCCCTCACAGAACTGGGAAGGGACAAGTCCCCCAGACCTCAGGTAAAGTGGGGGAGGACAGCTAATGGAGAGAGAAGTAGGAGAAAATGAGAGGGAGGAGAGGAAGGCATGTGCGACCAGGAGGATTGAGCCTGGTTAGGAATGGAAAATAGGAAAGAGAGAGAGAGAGAGAGACAGAGACAGAGAGACAGAACATAAAAGAGGGAGCCAATATTGGTTTGAAGATAAAGTTTAACACAAAGAAAGGTCGAGGGAACTACAAGACTGCTCCCAACTAACAATCTCAGCTTCCGTGGAAAGGCTATCATAAATGCCCTTCCCGGAGAGTGAGATCAACAACTAACTTATCCATGGAGTCCTCAACTAATGCCTGTTGAAATCAGGAGCAAACACCCATACATAAACACTGAGTCGAACTAGAACCCAGAAGCAGATGGAGAGGACAAGACCATGTGATAGAATTACATAGAGACAGCTTACCTGAACAAGGAGGAGCTAAGGGCCCCTAGACTGATAGCTGGGAAGCCAACAGGAGACTGACTGGGACCCCCCTGAATATGGGTCTCAGCCAGAAGGTCTGAGCAGTCTAAGAGACCTCAGACAGTGGAGGAGGATGTATCCCTGGTGGACAAAAGGACTTTGCAAACATATCCCCCATGGAGGGAAAACTGCCTTATTCTAGAGATAGGAGAGAAGCCCTAGTCCCTACTTCACAGGACCTGTCAGATCATCAT